TATTTCAGGCCCTGACGAAGGCGAAGTAGTCGAAACGTTGGTCAAATAAAGTGTTCAATCTTGAGAGGCTTAAACAGGATTTCTCTTTATTATATATCATGCCAAGATTGCAAGGAAGTCGATGGAGGGCTTTGCAGCACACATAGTCCAGTGAGTGGATCTTGGATGGATACTCTGCCTAACCATACTAGTAGGTTCCCACGGCTTTACCATGAACTATAACCATGAATTTACAACTATAATAAAATAACGCCTCGGGAGCCCACTCTGGTTAAGAAGGGGGTCACGCAGTGCTGAAAAAATTCAAAGCCCTACCTTCAATCTTTCGAACGCTTCCTTTTCGAGATATTCACGTTGAGATGGATGAGAAATCATGATGAGTTCATATGCCCTTTGCCGCATATTCCTCCCCCATAGTTGAGCAATACCGTTCTCCGTAACCACATAGTGTACATGGGATCGGGTTGTGACAACTCCAGCTCCCTGAACACGTGAAAGCAATAGCATAACAAAAGCAGGGTGAAAATCAAGGCAAACGAACCTGACTGAGGTAGGGAACAATCTTGCTTTGACCTTTTTTCGACATCGATTGAAGAGCGATGATTGGTTTACCTTCACCGTCATTGCCTATACTGGCTCCACGGATGAAGTCCACTTGGCCACCGAAACCGGACAGGAACCGCTTACCGATGGAGTCGGCCACCACTATAAAGGAACCATATAGAATTACTCTAGAGCTATGTCCTGGAAGCATAAAAAATACAAAAAAACATGTTTTAATATCGAAGGATTTGAATGCACAACCTGGAGTTTTGACGCTCTGAACAGCCATCTTCATGGCCACCCATTTCAAGTTCAGCAAAACAATCGCTACATGTAGAAATCACCTTGTCCAGTGAGATCGATCTCGACTGCTGAATTTATTGCGACGACCTTAGGGTTCTGCCTGATAATAGCGGGATCGTTGACCCATTGGACATCGCCGAATTCGACTGCTGGGTTGTTGTTCAAGTAATCGTACAGCTTTTTGCTACCATACACGAACGACACAACAAGCTTGCCAGGACGAACTGTCTAAATTTTCTTCGAATGAGTGATTTCATTTCATTACAGATTTATTCAAATGAGAGATTTCACCATGTCCATGTGTTGATGAGAAATGGAATCTTATGGACGAGTAGTAATGAGTAGCGCAGTGTCACATTTTAGGTCTAGAGATCGACACCTGATTTGCTCCTTACCCGAACACCCCTCAAGTACTTCTTCTAAAGGCACAGTTCACGACAATTTTGGGTAATCCAGATTATGATGAAAAATGGAAGGCAAGATCGAAACTAGTGCGAATGAGGCGAAGAAACTGCGTGCATCGGTGTTTCTAAAGTGAAAAAAGGCTTCGAAAAACCGTGAAAAAGGGAGCTGGACGAGAATGAAACCAGAAAAATGAAGGAGGGTGGGGCGTCCGGACGAGCTAAACAGTGTGCTTCACCGTGCGCGTGTGGGTCCTGGTGCGAGTAACAGACAATGGTAAGCAAACAATCATTCACTTATAAGCATGAATAAACAAAAAACCCTAGTAACAGCAAAAGTAGCTCACCTTTTTCAGCCTCTGGGAGTAGGAAATTAAATAAGGGATCGCGGCAGCAAAAAGAAAAACAGAGGAAAAAAGAATGGGAGGAAACATCGCCTTATCTCTCGGTGATTAGTTGATTGTGCGTGGGTCCCAGAACGATAATAGCAATCTATATTGTCTCGACACTCGTCTAACGTGACACCGACCGAGGGGCGGGAAAGCGAACTACGGCAGCAACGGGACTTCCACAACTAAGCGCTGAGATTGTGGGAGCGAGAAGGTCCCTTCTACTACCCATGGGGGACGCCGAGTATTCCTAAAGGAACAACTCAGTAACCTTTTCATCGTGAACCGTGCTTTTAAGCCTTCTCCAGTCAGTATTACCTTTTTCTTATTTGTGATGGCATTGCAGGCGAGAAGATCCAAAATACGATCTGAGAACATCTCCGTGTGAATACCGAGGTCTTTGTGGTTTTTCAAAGCATCCAGTGCGGCATCCGGTACGGCACCAATACCTGAAACATGCGATTCCTTATCGAAGTTCTCCTCAGTTCAGGGAGAAACTAATATTATGGTTGCGTGAACCCTGAGTACTTTCGCAAGAGCTCTGCTCCTTTTAAAACCGTCCTAAATTTGGTTAATTTGAGTACTTCTGTACTTCTGCTTGATGATCGGTTCGTAGTATATGGGGTATAAGTATTAATTGTGGGGTTTAATGACCTATTCTTCCTAGTGATTGGTAATGTGCTTCACCTCATGGACGAAATATTCGATAAGGACATGAAGGGAAAAAACCCTGATGCAACACTGAGAAGCAGAGCTTACCCATTTGAAGTGTTGAACCATTCTCCACTAAGTTCTCGGCGATAAGCTTTCCAATTTTATGTTCGTCTTCGTGTATTTCATCGGCAAGTAGTTCGTGGAGCTGGAACGAATTGTCTTCGACGAGCACATCGATATGTGATGAATGAATCACGCTGTCACCAAACGTCCTCGGCATGTTTTTGTTCATCATAGCTGAAAAAGAAATGAGTTGTTGGGGTAGATGGCGTGTTGGCGATACACCGATTGACTAAGGCCCATCAACCTTTTTTTGATAGGACAGGACCTAGTGGTTCCGAGGTTGGTGGATGGAATGGTATCCTCGCAATTATACAGACAGCTCTGAAGACATGAATACGCATCCTCCTTTTCAGTCTTTAATCAGTGTGAGTCAACTAGCAAGCAACTTTCTACTCGGTTAGCTACTCTGTATATCTAAATTGAGGGCCTTAGAATTGCTCTAAAAAACCACACCGTTTCAGCCCCGATGTCAGGGCGCTCTTGAAACTTGGACACAATCATCTCCATACACTGGCCACTGGCCGGTGGCTTCGATATGGGCATTCTAAGCCGAGAAATCGCTTCCAAATTTCTTCAAGGGAGTTGTATTTTGAACTTGAATCCGCTATGACTCGCGCAAGCAAAGACGGCAGAGCGGTATGTGGATCGGCCCGCCTTTCTAGGCATCTCATTTGTCCGACTGAGTGAGCACTTTCTTATCGTCTTTTCTTGTTTTTTCCGCAGGTCAAACCGCTTGATTTCAACCA